AATCGACAACGGATTCACGGTCATCATTAGATTCTTAATTCCAGATATTTTCTTGAATTCAAATTCCACCATCTGCCGTGGCGGGATTCGAACCTGGGTCCCCAGAATGTTATCTGGGTCTCTGGATGAACAATCTAGTGGTAATACCGCTAGGCCCTTGCCTCCCATGTTGTTCGGATAGTAACGGTGTGCAGAGATCTGGGGAGAATGCAGGAGGTCAGCGCTGGGGAATAGAACCGGTGCAGGCCTCCTGTGTCTTACGGTTTCATGACGATCTTATGGAGTTGATTCCGCAACCACCAACCCCCACTCCCACCCCTCCGTTCCAATATACTCACCCAGCAAATCCCACTGCCTGGTATTGAGTCGAACGGTCCAAATGTCTCACTGGGATCTTTCTGTGTATGCCGGCAGCTACCTGATAGACCGGGGCGTCTGCTACCTGGTGCTGTGCGAGGGGAACTACTCCAAAAAGATGGCCTACGCCTTCCTGGATGACCTGCAGGCGGAGTTCAGCGAGCTGTATATCAAAAAGGTCGCGACTGTCTCCAGACCCTATGTTTTTATTGAATTCGGTAAGTTTCGGGGTTGGGGGGTGAGGGGTGGGGGGCAAAAAGACAAAACCAGGAGTGCTGGGGGGTGGGGGGAACCTCTCAATGTGATGCAGCCTGAGGCGTTCCACGCTATCAGGTCAGCTCGGCCCGCGGTACGTACCGGCTTGCGCTTCGCAGGCAAGTCCCGTCCGAAAGCCTACGCAAGAAGAACTCCTCTTCGCGTCGTGCAGTTTGTTCCCCGAAGGCTGCCTGCCAACTCTCCCTGGCACTTCCGTGTGGCCGTACATTTTTCACTCGTAAAGGTGTCAGGACAAGGGGGGTGGTGGGGGCTGCGCATAGCGGAGTCGTCGGCTTTCGTCCCGCAGTCATCACGATGGAGCTGCAAGAATGTAGTTATGGCCAAGTGGTTAAGGCGATGGATTAGAAATCCATCGGGGTGTCCCCGCGCAGTTTCGAATCCTGCCGACTATGTTTCCTATGGGGCGGCACGGGGCTCAGCAGGTAGCGCCAGGGACCCGGGTTCAATTCCACCTTTGGCCGACTGTCTGTGTGGAGTTTGCGCATTCTCCCCGTGTCTGCGTGGATTCCCTCTGGGTGCTCCAGTTTCCTCCCACAGTCCAAAGATGTGCAGGCTAGGTGGATTGGCTGTGCTAAATTGCCCGTAGTGTTCAGGGATATGTAGGCTAGGTGGGTTATAGGGGGATGGGTGGGATGGTCCAAGGGTCGGTGTGGACTTGTTGGGCCGAAGGGATGCTATGAATTCCAACTGGAGTGTTGGGGGGATGGGTGGGGATGATACTTTTATGGTGCATTCTCTGTGGCAATGCCTTGAACCATCAGTTGACGACCTGACCAATCAGCACTCTCATCTCATCCGGTATAAACTGTTGCTCCCCTTCAAATTAGCCAACCTTGCACAGGTCCCAAAGAGGGCCACAGTGGCTTCTTTTAGAATAAACGTCATGCACTTGATGTTTAAATGTCTGTTTACATGTGAGATAGTCACCGTAGGGAGTTCTGGATATCCAACTGGGATCTGCCTGCCTCAGCGGCAGAATGTCCTACCGTCACTTACTGCCTGAGTTTGTAGGATTTGGCAGGGGGGAGGAGGGCGTTTGGGGGGCAGGACCTCCTGGATGTGGGCCCAGGTAGATTAATTGCACAGAAGCTGACTTCAGGAGCGAAGAGGCCAGGGATTTCTGGAAGAAGGGAGAGGTTTAGTTTCTGGTTGAAAGAACACGTAGAGCTGGAGAGACGGTTTGAACGCTGCATTGTATTTGCCGAGCTGGTATTCCCCAGTGCCGCTGTGTAAACACGAGCAGAAACCCCCCCCAGGGGGAGGTGGGTTACTGGGGCAACAACTCCCCTGGGAGATGAACCCAGCAGCAGCTATCAGGTCCCTGGGTTGTTTGCTGAAGACATCACGGTTATTGTGTTCAGTTCAGGTCTAGGTCACAGTGACTGTTCATCGCGTTAACCCCTAGGCTACCATGCCGGGTTCAGCAAGGAACTGCGTTTCAGTAGCGCCTGTCACAACCCTGTGAGACAATCACGACCGACGAAGCAGTTTTGTAAAGCGTGACCGCTGCTCAGCAGGTTCCCACAAGCTGCAGCGAGATAAAACCTGATCAGTCGGTTTCACTCATTGCGAGTCAATTGAGGGAGGCGTATTTGCCAGGATCTGCAGAGCACTTCCTCATTCCACTTGCAATCCATGCCATTCAATCGTCAATGTTTACCCAAAAGGAAGTCCAATGTCCCAGTTTGCTGGTTCATTCAGAATAAGCACACTCCGACAGTACAGCACTCCCTCAGCACTGACCCTCCGACAGTACAGCACTCCCTCAGCACTGACCCTCAGACAGTGCGGCACTCCCTCAGCACTGACCC